GTGCGCCACCAGGAACTCCTTGAGGCGGTTGGTGGTGAAGGTCAGGGTCTGGCGGCGCAGCTTCATCAGGTAGGCATCCTGGAGCCAGGTGTTGGCAAAGCAGTCCTTGACTGTGGGGCGGCTCCTGGGGCAGGGGCAGTGCCGAGTCAGGGGCCGCGGGGTGCCCACTGCCGCTACACCCCCCCAAACCCAGCTACCACCCCTGCCCCGCAACACCCAGGTGGTCCCAGCACTCTCCGAGGGCAGGGATGGACCCCAGGGTCCTGGGCTCAGGAGATCCCAGCGCTCTCTGGGACCAGGGGTGGACCTCAGGGTCCTGGCCTCAGGAGATCCCAGCCCTCTCCAGGAACAGGGGTGGACCCCAGGGTCCCACTGATGATGTCTGGAGGGTCCCTGTGGGAGAGGGAGCTGCCCGCCTGGCCCAGTCATGGCCACAGTCCAGGGCCACGTGTCCTCCCCTGCCTGGGCCAGCCACTCACCAGGGGTGGACAGCAAGGACCTTGCGGATGAAGAGGGCAGCGCTCTGCGAGACATTGGGGTACAGCTTGAAGGCATCAAAGCGCCCTGCCAGGATACGGTTCTCCGTCTCGATGGGGTCCAGTTCGAAGAATGGCGACCGCCCGCTGAGCCTGTGAGGGTGAAGGGGGAGGCATGGACTGGGGGGGGGCAGTGATGGGAGGGCACCCGGGACCCCCTACCCACCCATCCCTGGTTTGGAACAGCCAGAGCTGGCCAGCATCTCAATCCCCATGTCCAGCTGGGAAGGGTCTGCAAGGCTACAGCGTCCCCCAGCCCACCACCAGCCTGGTGTCCCCTGTGGCACTGAGCCCTGGGTGGGGCTGACTGCACCTCAGGGTGCTCGTCCCCCCAGCCCCTCCTCTTACATGATGTAGGTGAGGACGCCGACACCCCAGACATCTGCTGCGGAGCCCACCGGGTCACCCTTCACCACCTCCGGCGCTGCGGGCAGGGGAGCAGGACTGTCATATGCACCGGGGGGCCCAGCCCCAACACCCCCAGCATCCCCAGCACCCGCAGCATCCCCAACACTCGCCACAGCAGCCACAGCACCCCACCACTGCACCCTCCAGCACCCCTCCCTGATACCCCAATACCCTGACAGAGCCCAGCACCTTCACCCCAACTCTCTCACTGAGCCCAGCAATCCTACAGAAGCCTTCAGTAGATACCCCCAGCACCCCAAAGACCCCCCAGCTTCCCCGAGGACACCTCAACTCCCCCCACCCATCCCAAGCCCCCGCAGGGCACAGGCACACGTGCACACCTTGGGCACAAACATGCCCTGTCCCCGTGCCACTGCACCCCCGGTGCCCCACTCACACATGTACTCCAGGGTGCCAACGCGCCGCCCCAGCTGCCGCAGTACGAGGGGGTTGTAGGTCTGGGCACTGCCGAAATCGATGATCTTGAGGGCGTTCATGCCCGAGACTACGACGTTGTCCGGCTTGATGTCGAGGTGCACGATGCGGCGGCCGTGCAGGTACTCGAGGCCCTGCAGGAGCTGCAGCACGTAGCTCACCACATCGTCCTCCGAGTAGCGAAACCTGGAGGCAAATGGCATCAGGGGGCAGCCCCGTGCCGGTGGCCGTCACTGCTCAGCCCCGCACCCACCCATACCTGTCCACGATGCTGTAGAGTATCTCCTTGCCGGCGCAGTTCTCACAGATGAGCACCAGGTAGCGGGGGGTGATGTACGCCTCGTGCAGGGCCATGATGCGCTCATGGTGCAGCGCCTTGAGGATCTCGTACTCCTGCAGCACGCTCTGCTTCCTCTCTGCCTCATAGGGCACGATCTTGGCCATGAAGTGCTTCCCCGTGGCATTCTCCTTGCACAGCCGGATCACCCCGAAACGGCCCCTGCAGCACAGGGTGGCGCTCAGCATCCCTGGCATGGGGTGCTGGGGGGGGGACACACCCCCAGCAGCGCATCCCGTCCCACTGCTCCTCACCTCGCCTTCTCATCCAAGAAGGTGTATGGCTTTTGGGGCACACCCTGCCGCAGCGCCGTGCCGTCCTTCGCCCCTGGGGTCCCGCTCTCAGCCGGGGGCTCCTTGGAGGATGGGGTAGTGGTGGGGGGCTCCTGTGGGGAGGATGATGCGGGGGGCATGGAAACGAAGGAGGTAACCATGTAGGGGGGCATCTTCCGTGCGGGCACAGCGTTGGAGGTGGGAGAGAGCGTGGGAGCTGAGCTGGGGGTGGTTGACACTGGGGAAATGGGGGAGACCTTGGAAGGGGATGGAGGCTGAGGCAGGGGGGCTGTGTCCCTGGGGGGCACGGGGGAGCCCCGGGCAGGGGTGTCTGTGTGGGGTGAGGCAACAGTCCGAGGGGGAGTGAACATCAGCTCCGGGGGCACGCAGATGGTGATGTTGGGCTGGAGCTCAGGGTCCGGCCGTGGCCCCTCCTCACGGGGCACGGGGGCCTGGAGGACCCCTGGGGGGACATCTGCCTGCGCCGCCCCCTCTGCCTTCTGCACAGCTCCCTTGTGCTTCTGGGGCAGCGTGGTGGGGGTGGTCTCCACAGCTGGCGGCTCTGGCTGCCCCCCGGGTGTCTGGG